TTCATGAAGATTGAATAAGATACCTTGCGTTGCAAGTTAACATACGCCCACTGGCAGCTGTCAGAAATAATAAAACAGTCTTTAGTGACTAAAGTACGAATTTTCTCAAATTAAAGAAATTATTTATGCTGAATAACTCCACAAAAGTTTTTAAAATCAATATCAATAACCCAAATACAACAAACAATTAAATCACACAGCTCTAATCAAGGGCAAAAAACAACTTTTGACGCGTGTTTACAAAGTCAAGGGCAATAACTTATAAAACTTATGAGGTCATATTGTAATTTTAATCTTAACTGCCTTCCACCATTTGTAGTTTGTTTCTTCCCCTGATGAAGTCAAAACTTTTTTGACGAAACGTTGGATGGTATTTGATGTCAAGTTTTATTATTTATTACACATTTCCATATGGGCGTATAAAAACAAATGTGTTTATTTGCCCTCTCATCAACGTTCATGTGTTTGCCTATCTTCCCACTCCACAAGGGAACAGCCTATAAATACAGGGTGGGTACAGGGTCAGGCCACAGCAATGGATGCATCAAACCCTTTGGGCTCAACTTCATGATTAAAATCCACATAGCTCGCGGTCTATCCTGTAGGTGTTCAGTGGAAATAGATATGTCTGTATATGATATTTCAAACAAAAAAGTAAATAACTTACCTCTGAAAACCATTTAGAAAATAAACTATGACTGTTAATCTCTATAAATTGACCATAAGAATATCTATCTGACAATCTTATACATAACTTTTGAGATATTGCTTTACATAAAGAGGTTTTTCCAGTACCAGGGGGACCTATTAAAGTATATAGTATTAATTAAATAAACACAATTCAGATTGGAGACATATAATGGCTAATGCCCGTGGGTGCTTGTAAATTAATAGTTTGTCTCTAATAACCCTGGCAACACAAATTAACATGCTATATTTTCTAATTATTAACCATGCAAGTTAGTGTGTTATCTCCCGATAAATCTCATGGATGTTAACAATTTTTTTTTCAAAACAAAAAATTTGATCAATAACAAATGTCTCAATATTTTTAATTATAGTACAATTAGACCTGGCTGGAAAGCTTTCTG